TACCGACGAATAATATAACAAATCGATAAGCTCTTACTCCGCGCAATCCCCGACGAGCTGGGGGTCAAGATAGAGAATTAGTATTCTTCCATAAATCCTCTCTCGGAACTCTTTGAGAATAATTTATCTTGCTCCAGGTATATTTCAGGGGAACAAATACCCTTTCTTTCATGCCAGTTGCTTAAGATACTCGACTGAGACTAACGTTTGTAGCTCGTGCTCGTTACTTCAATTAGAAAGAATCAGGATCCTTCCTCCTTATTTCCGCGAACTTCATTGCACCGAGCACTTTTTATCCGGTTAAAGTAATTTTTATTCAGTTTGCCTTTCTGATTTCTTACGGCGATATTCCTTCAGACTTCAGACACACAATGTTTGACTCTTAAGAACTGGCACGTCCAAACTTATCATTTCGCCAAATAAGCCCTTTTCATGTGGCTACAAATCTCGCGGTTTTTTTTCTCTCCCTCACGGGTCACGAGATAAAAATAGCTGGAAGTTAAGCCTTACATCACCTCCCCGAAGGCTATTTTGAAATAGTTTCTGCAGAGTATGTTTAACGGTTGTTTCTACGTTAAATGTCACCATGCCGCTGTTTCATCAATTTATTTTTCAAAATTGCAGACATATTTTATGTTTTTCTATTCTATATATTTAGAGAAGTTGGGAACATTTGGCAAGGTTCTTAAAATAAATACATTGTTAGTCATTATTACTATTATTAATTAAAATCTTAAATTTAATCCTATAAGGAGACTTCGCAAAACTGGATTCGGTAACGTTTTTGCGTATAAGTGGCTCTTATCTACATCCTCTACACGCTGCGGCTTTCTCTCCAGTCCCGAAATATTCACGACTGAATATTTATGAAGTAATGGCCAGATGAAATGGACGGGGGGAAAAAAATTCGATCGAGCTCTCCCGCTCGGCAAGTATTAATTACTATCGACGAAAAACAGGGGCGTCCGGTAACACGAACATTTGGCACGACTCGCGTCTCACCGTTATTTGCTAACCAGCAAAAAACTGCACCTCCGGCAGCGACGCGTTGCAATAACGTTGTTGTATAAATCGTGATCTACCTTCGTAGAGAGTCCTCGTCCCGCATGCGGTAATCCACATCTCACAAGTGCAGGACCGCCTGCGCGTCTGTTTTACACGAACAAGCATCGTCCGAGGATATTGCACATCGGAATCTAATAATTGCGATGGCGATATCAATTTCCGGTAACGTGACAGACTTGAGTTGTAATTATATCGCGCGTCCATGAGAAATATATTTTGTAAATTAATATGTGAAAATGTATAAAAGAGAGACGACTTGAATTTTACTTCGACTTAAGGATTCACGCAATACAATCTATTGAGAAATAAAAGATTACAAGGAAAATGTGATTTTATTTATTATTATTATGTAAGATTAAATTCTATAAGATTAGAGATCGCAAAGTAGTCATAGAGGGTAATAAAGATGGTCTAATTTCTTGTATGAGCGAGAATGTATTTTGCTATTTTATCAATGATCAACTTAAACTCTCGCCTAATCGCTGAAGAATTATTATACCTGTTGCTGATGTAACAATCTGTATGATCGCAATTGAATTCTTCCATTACGTATATTGCTCTACTTAACGGCGTGCGTCCTTGTAAAACGGACACACAGACGAGTCGGAGGTTCATTTTCGAGAGTAGTATTGATCCCACCGTTACAGAACAAACTGGATCAATTATTTCTGTCCTGTTCTCAATAATTCAGCGATGTTAGGCCGAGGCACGGACAAGCACAGACGGCCAACAATCGCAGCCTGTTATGTCCATTTTTCGATATTTTATGCAAACTTCCTGGTATCCAATTTAGTCTTGGATATAGAAAAACAAGATACCCCCTTCCCATAACTTTTTAATTATATCTAACAAATTAATATAATTTCTCGAGACAAAAATAAATTATTTTAGAGTAATTTGTACAATTGGCACTATAAAACTCGTATTTGGAGATAGTACTTTTCCAATAATTTAAATGTATTCAATTCAATCTTGTTGATTGGGGATGTAAAATTGGTCAGCTGTTAAGCAACAAGTGATAAATCATGAGAATCCGATATAACAATACGTTTAACTTCTTGCGTGTTTAATCCAAAGCTATCTCTAAAAGATGAGATAATTTCCTCTCTTATTTGTAAGCTTGACGATCTCGCCGTGGCTGGCATTATGATTATTTTTTACAAGTTTTATTTTACCGGCACCGCTTTGTCGCTCGCCGGTCGGAGATGGCCGAAGAAAAGAACTGGTTCGTAAAGCTGGAAAAAAGGCACGGTGGTAGTAAGTTGATATAAAATTGGCGGGCGCTCGCTATTCGTACAATTCGATCCCCCGGATACATGAAATCGGACGATCTTGGCGCGCGAAACTTTTTCCTTCGAGTCGTTTCCCGTTTGGATAAATGGAGTGTAGTGACATGAAGTTTACGCGACAAATCGCAAAACTTTATCTGTATCTTTATGCACAGGCTATATTTCTGAGTGACATCGAGAAGAAAGCTTCCTCCGTTTTTATTAATACTCGGAGTAAATATTTCTCTAATTAAAATCTTTATTTTAATAATTCACGGTTTAAATTATGATATTTACTTAGAATTAGAAAGAAGTAAAAATAATTATACGGAAAGAAAGAACGAAGGAAGAACACGTTCGATCACTTATTATTACATGAACTATTACAACATTTGTTAAAATGTTTGATTTTTGTTCATTCACTTTATGTGCGAGACCAAATAAATCTTCTGCGAAGAGATTTATTTTTAACTCGATATTTTATGGCTGTATTTGTTAGAGAAAGAATGGAACAGATATCGGCATTTCCGAAACGATCTCAAGCATTCTTTATAGGTTTTCGGGGAACACTCCAAATTCAACTGCGATTGATCGAGAGTAGATTCCTCCCCGAGTGCAAACTCAGCATCAGGCTTTTTCTAAAACATAAGTGAATCTGTGACGTTCATTTTGAATCACCTTACTAATATAATATTAGAAAATTATCTTATAGTAGATCAAATTATCTTATAAATTGTCTTATATTAGACTTAGTTAGTTTTTTAGATTTAAGTTAACATTTTTTAGGAATTATTTAAGTTTTATCAGTATTTAATATTTTATATTTTTTAATCTTTGCTTCTTTAAATTCTATGTGAAATATTATATCAGATATCTGAAAACTTTTGAACATTTAAAGTATTTTTCTGATAGAATGTCATTATAAATGAATGTATATCTATTTTAGCCAAATTAGGATCATTAACAAACTCAGCAAAATCGATTTTTCTTAACAAAATTAAAAAATTTGGATCAATCAAAGCTAACTATAATTGAAAGTATCTTATTTAAAATGTAGAACGTAAAACGTGAAATATTAAAATTGACGGTACATGAAATATTAACGAAGTTTAAATGTTAATCAGATCTGTCTTAAAATGAAGTGCTCGCCTCAAAATTAGGACACACATATTGCGATAAACGAGGAATGTTTATCGCAGATAGATAATAGGTCGGTCTCCTCACTCTCTTCGGATCGAATGCGATTTTACGAGTGCGGCAATTTCGTCATCCACGCTATTGCGTGTACCGACGTATTTGAGGCATTATACGGGAGCGAGGATGCAACGAGAGGAGATTCTTGCCATGAATTATTGCATTACCGTGTGCCTTGATTGCTACTCACTCACTTACTCACCCATCCTCTCTCTCTCTCTCTCTCTCT